AAAACCCAACTAAAAGATAGCTATATTCCCATCACTAACCTTATTTGGTTCATGACAATCCTCGATTCAACGGGTGAAGCTTATGCCCATAGAACCCATGTACTACCACACGAGAGCATTCCCAACTCCCCAAAACCCAACTAAAAGATAGCTACATTCCTATCACTCAGTGGCGAATTTAGAGCCAAAAAATAGGGCACTGGCACCCATGGTCTCATCGTAAAATTAGATATTTTATATATATATTTTCTAAAATTTGTATAATATTATATTTTGGCACCCGTACTACAAGAAGTCTAAATGGTCCACATGATTTAATGTTGAGCTTTTGACCTTGAAGATTAAGGATCAATTTTCACTTCAATACATTTTACTTGGTGCACCCTTGTTCGAAAAATCCTAAATTCGCCTCTGCTATCACTAACCTTATTTGGTTCATGACAGTCCTCGATTCAACGAGTGAAGCTTATGCCCTCGAGAACCCATGTACTACCACAGGAGAGAATTCCAACTCCCCAAAACCCAACTAAAAGATAGCTATATTCCCAGCACTAACCTTATTTGGTTCATGACAATCCTCGATTCAACAGGTGAAGCTTATGCCCTCAAGAACCCATGTACTACCACAGGAGAGCATTCCAACTCCCCAAAACCCAACTAAAAGATAGTTATATTCCTATCACTAACCTTATTGGGTTCATGATAGTCCTCGATTCAACGAGTGAAGTTTATGCCCTCGAGAACCCATGTACTACCACACGAGAGCATTCCAACTCCCTAAAACCCAACTAAAAGATAGCTATATTCTCATCACTAACCTTATTTGGTTCATGACAATCCTCGATTCAACGGGTGAAGCTTATGCCCATAGAACCCATGTACTACCACACGAGAGCATTCCAACTCCCTAAAACCCAACTAAAAGATAGCTATATTCTCATCACTAACCTTATTTGGTTCATGACAATCCTCAATTCAACGGGTGAAGCTTATACCCTCGAGAACCCATGTACTACCACACGAGAGCATTCCAACTCCCCAAAACCCAACTAAAAGATAGATATATTCCTATCACTAACCTTATTTGGTTCATGACAGTCCTCGATTCAACGGGGGATTGGCTGGAACAGGGAAGCAGGAAGCTTATGCCCTCGAGAATCCATGTACTACCACAGGACAGCATTCCATCCCCAAAAAAACTCAACCAAAAGATAGCTAAATTTCCATCACTAACCTTATTTCAGACTATGTGACTGATTCACTGAGAAAAGACAGTAAAGGCAGAACATTTGTCAACTACCATCAATCCAAAGGCATCACAAGACTCCAACATAATTCTAAAACTTCACTACACAAACAAGAAATTTCCTTTCACAACATATAACCATTGAAGTAATACTTGATAAAACTGCAAATGATTTGTTTTACAAAACATAAAACAAGTACTTTTAAGCCTTACTACAAACAGAAAATAGATACCAAAACCTACATACATTGACAGATTATTTGAACCAAACACAAGTCATAAAATCCTAAATCATGCAACTTTGGTAGAGTGTCCATTACATCGTTAAACGAGAAGTGTTGCTCTTCACAAATTTAAGCCTTTCGTGGTGATTTGGTAGCCTTAGATGGTGATTTACCAGGTTCTTTTCCAACTTTATCGGATTTCTTAGGTAGAAGAATTGGATTGATGTTAGGAAGAACACCTCCATGAGCAATGGTTACACCAGCTAGAAGCTTTCCAAGTTCTTCATCATTCCTCACAGCTAACAAAACATGCCTTGGTATAATTCTGTTCTTCTTATTGTCTCTTGCTGCATTTCCAGCCAATTCCAAAACCTACACAAAGAGAAGACAATCAACACCAAAACACTAATTCTCAATTTGCACATATACCAATGTATTCAAGCAAATTAGAAACACTCTTAGAAGCAAAAATTCCATTATCTATAATAACTTCATAGTTAATTCAATCAAATTTTCAAGTTTCAATTTCAAAAATTTATCATCAAACATGAGCTAAAAGTGAAATTTTCCAGATCCCACACTCACCCTCAACATAACCCTAAACCCCATATACTAAAAAAAAATCAATTTTAGCTAACAACAAACCCCAGATACTAAAAATTCAAGATTTAGAGAAATATACCTCAGCAGCAAGGTACTCAAGCACAGCAGCAAGATAAACAGGTGCACCACTTCCAACTCGCTGAGAATAACGACCCTTTTTCAAATACCTCCCAATTCTACCCACCGGAAACTGTAATCCAGCCTTAACAGATCTTGTAACTGACTTCTTCTTTGGACCACCACCTTTTCTTCCTCCAGCACCCTTCTTCTCCATTTTTTAGCTCAAAAAAACTGAACCCCAAATGATAATTTCAATGAATAATTTGTATTGCTTTCGTTTGAATTGATTGTGATTGAATTTGAGTTACAGTAAGCTGACGTTTTATATATGAGGTTTGTGCTTGAAGAAATGGACTTTCTTGGGAGAAGAGTATTTTGAGCCGTTCGATTTTGGGTTAAATCTACGGCTGTGAGATGAGAATGCTGACGATCCGTGTGATTATAAATTGACCAATGAGAGGAGAACACGTGTGACTTTGTTGAGTGATGTTGACAGACTGGATAAGCTAAGCTTTTAGGTTTCCTATAAAAAATTGAAGGACTCACAAAAAAAATATACTAATATAGTAAATACCACAAAATCAATCAAATTGATAAATCAAGTCTAATTAATTTAACAAATTGAAAATTGATTTAAAATAATTTGATTCATTTTTTTTCAAAAAAAATATCAAATCAAACTTTTGCTATATAGATACAAGAATACTACATATTTAATATAATCTCACAGAGATCGGGAAAAAGTAAAACATACACAGAACTTAGCAACTCGATTTGTAAGTTCATTTACTATACACAAATACATAGAACCGTCAAAATGGGCTTAGCCCATAAGGTCAGCCCAACCCAACCCAACCCATTATTGGGATATGATTGGAATAGGATTTTTCAAACCCATTTAAAACTAGGGGTATAAGCCTGGCCCATATAAGCTCTTGACCCTTGAGGCTTGATTGGGGCCGGACCGGGGTCGGGGCCAACACTTTTTATTTAAGGGTAACTTACAATAATCTCACTAGTATATAATCTAATTACTTAAATACAAGTTATGTTGTAATATTATGAATCTTACCAGATTTTGGTATGTCCAGATACATGTATCTCGAAATGTATGGACTCAAAATTAGGTTAATTTGTTCTAGATACACTCTATCCAAGTAGATTCACATGTATCTAGGATACATAAACAAATCTCGCCCCCTCGCCTCCCTCCTATCTTGCTGTCACTCTCTTATCTCGCTCGCGTATCTGGTATGCAAGACACGTGCTAATTACACTAAATTGTTTGCTAGTGTTATTGAAACAACACCATTGTTTACTATATTTGATTTGAAAACCTTCTCATTTTCTTGAATATACAGATTTTATCCCTATTTTGAAAAGGCGGAGAGATATGTTTCTGAAAGATTGTCAACTCATATAACACATATCAAAATAGATTTGAATGGAAAAAATAAAACAAAAATAATGAAGATATCACAATAATAAGAGAGCATTCTTGTTAAATTTTATTAAGGACATCACTAATATTTTTGTACTAAAAGAAAATATTTTTTTTCCATCTCATCGGCCATCGCTTTCTTACGTGTAATTTAAAATTATGAGTTTTGAAGTAATAATACTCAAAATTTGAAGTTATGTTTACATGTGCATTTTACTTCATTTTTTTAATTCTATGAGTAGAAGTCCGAAAACTTTGAAGATCACAATTCTTCGCCCAAAAAAATTTTTGAAAATAAATTTTAAAATTTGATTCAAAATCTACTAACTAAAACAAAAACGATCTTAAAATGGGATGAATATCTACTTCAAATGATATGCCCTTAGACACGACCATAGATAGAAATCACACGTAAAAAGGGACAATTAGCTAGAGCAGTGGATGAGAGCTAAAAGCATTCTCTACATACAAAAACTCCAAAAACATTTGATCATGAAAGAAGAGTAGCTTATTCTGTAACAGATTTTCAACCTCCCTTGTAATTAAGAAATTGAAAAAAATTAAGAGAGAATTAAAGAAAATAAGGAACTATTCTCATCTGCTAGGAGCTCCAATTTTGCTTTGCAAATGCAATATTTCAGACCATGCAAGATCACAATTTGCAAATATGCTATTTTAACACAACACCAAGTAGCTTGGGAAAATGAAATGTAAAAAATCTCCATGCAGCCAAGCGAAAATACGCAGCAAACCTCAAATTGTTTCTTTGGTGTAAAACAGCAAACCTCTAGACCCTGTCAATTTGTAACAAGGAAAACTCAGTCAAGAAGAATGAACAGATACGAGGAGAAACGAGGAGGGAGAGTAAAACATTCTTCGTAGCGCAAAAGAACAATCAAATATTAGAAGTGGAGAAATTGGAGAAAAATCAGCTAAAACCACATTCAAGCACACAAGAAGCAACTAGTAAGTTAAAACATCATATAGGACGAATGCATCAAGTGAAAGATAATGGATGCTAACTAAAATTTGGAGAGATAAAGATCTTCAATTATTAGTCTAGCAAATACGCATGCCTAGAGGGTTAGTAGAGAGTCCCATCATTATATGTACGCAACAGATCTTATGAAGGATCAGCTATGAGATAAATATATTCCTACGGAAGTGATAGAAGTTTCCATTCTCAGAGTATTAGTATTAGTCTTCTTTTGTTCCTCATCTTTAGATTTCTATTACTACATGCTATTTCTTTGGCCTCTATATCTTATTTTCTTCTTCTTGTTTCTGCTGCCTCTTTTTCATCGTTCGTTTCACAGCCGAGGGTCTATCAGAAACAACTTCTCTACCTTCTCAACTCTCAAGGTAGGGTAAAGGTCTGTGTACTCTACCCTCCCCAGACCCAACCTATGGGATTACATTGGGTTTGTTGTTGTTGTTGAAAGTAATAGAAGTCTCTTACTTGGATATGCCTTTGTATTAAGAACTAATATATTATCTTATGGTGTTTTGTAAAGGTTTGGTTCAATAGTTCCTTCCCCACCCCCTACCACTCCCTTTCAAAACCCATTTCTAGATCAGTCCCTGTTCTTACAATGAAGGGTTAGAGTAAAACAAAAAATCATAGCACATTTTCACACTTTGAAGCTCTTATAGCAACACAATATTGTCAATTTTGTTGTATGATAACCACATTTTGTATAGGGAGAAGACTAGGGATGTTGATATGGGAGGGAAGAGGTGGGACAGGGCAGGTCAAATCCTTAACGGGGCAGAGTGCTGCGGGGCGACAATTAGTGGACCAGAGTAGGGTGGGGTAGGCTAAGACTTAATTTAAAGGGACGAGGCAGGTGATGGGTCAGGCATTATTTAAAGCAAAAGATCTTCTTTGCTGGGAAAAAGTTGGCGCAATATGAAATGCAAGCTCGATCTTAAGACTGCATATTCAGCCTCTATTCTCTACTTCTATTTACTGTTACATTCAAACAATATATGAATCAGCATAAATAAACAGCAATATACTGAATTCCCATCTGTTACCTTCAGCATTAACGATTCAATTTTGCACAGTTTTGAACAAATTATTTTGGTTATTTACACTTTAACTCTTTTTAGTTGGGTTCTCAGGAAAAGCAAACTCTGAATGTATGTTGTTGTTGCTTTTAAAATGGAGGAAACACTGAAATACTAAAAAGTGACTCGCAACATTTTTTTTTTAATTCAATAACTAGAATAGTTTTATTATCCATATGTGGGGTTGTTCCTCCTCAATATTTTATGTGTGTGGACACACAGTAAAGATAATGAAAGAAATTAAACAAACAAGTAAATTTTTAAAAGAATCTGACAAAAATTAACGAGTAGTACACACAAACAGGTTAAAGAAAATGCTTCATCATAGATTATTCAGTGACTTTACTTTCTTGGAAGATCTTTGGCGTCAATTACAATTGAGACCGTAGAGGAGGCAACCCTATATAGTGATCGCTAAGTCTCTCTGGCATCAATGTGTATGAGCAGGTTACTATTGTACTCCGTTTGACATGGATCCAGCAAAGAGCTAACTGTTTTTGTAGTCCTTGTATCATATTAAGGGGTCGTCAGGCTACCGGGATGGGATAGACAAGGATATTCTACCTTCTATATGGGATAGATAATCCCACCATTTTAGTACAATTGGTTATGGGGACCAATTAATACCCATAACCAAACACGGGATTAAATAATCCCGCATTTTATCTCAAGATTGTTATCCAAGTCCCACCAACCAAACAACCCCTAAGAGTTCAGATTATAAAAGCATTACTTCAGCCCAGTTCAAAGATTAGGGAACACATTAAATCACTAAGTGCTGCACTATATAGTTATATTCCTCCTCAGCCAAGTCTTACTGGCTTAGCACAGATAAGATGTCACTCCAAAGCATCACCCAATATGCTGAGGATAACATGCTATGTATCTAGTTGTTCATATTGTCTTCAAATGTATAAAATTGCTACTTTAGTATGCTAATAGCCTTAACTCTTAATCCTGGTTCTTGGAAAACTGACATAAGATAATAGTTTCTTTGAAGATAAAGATAACAGTTCCCTCATTCTAATTAACAGCAAACTTAGTGGTGTTCAACCAGAACTAAGATACAGAACTCTTTGAGAAACTGGTGGATTTTCATTTATATTGTTGACGATCCTCTACTCCGAAAAGAAAAATCAGAATTTGACAGAAGGAGGTTTATTTTTGCCCTGGCTTCTGAAGACAAACTTCACTCACCATCCAACCATTTACCCTTTTTTTGTGTTAACAGTCACATTTTAGAGTAGTATACTTCTAAAGATCTTAACATATGGACCGCAATTCCTTAATTTGCATCTTGTTATTAACTTCGAAGAAAAGGCTATTGATATATATAGGAAAAGTGGAAGTTATCTAAGAACTTGAGGCTGAAATAGACTTTTAATGACGATGTATTTAACTAATATGGGATGCACATTTGCAATTCAGAACAAGCAAACAGCCAAACATATCTAAAGTGTCCTGATATTATACAACAACAACAACATACCCAGTGAGATCCCACAAGTTGGATCCGGGGAGGGTAGCGTGTATGCAGACCTTACCCCTACCTCATGGGGTAGAGAGGAATGCTTCCGAAGGACCCTCAGCTCAAGGGAAGCAAATCAAAGTAGTTATGACAAGAAAAAACGACAGTAAAGAAAACATAACAACTAACAAGTAAAGTAGTCCGCGCGTTCACAAAGGAACAATAACAACAAAATAGTGCGATAACTGAAACACAATAAACAACATATCTAAACACGCTAAATACTCAACCAAAACACCAATGAAGCATAGATGCAAATGAACTAGTATAACAAAACTAAAAGGCGAAAAAGCGTTGATTCAGTATAAACCTTGTAGAGCCAGCATTCATATTCCTCCTAAGAATCCTTCCTTCATTATTCGAATCTCCTGATGATATCAACTCTCTCAACCCCAAATTCCCAACCTTCTCCTCTTTCTCATCACTCTCCTTTTCTTCTTTCTCACTCTCCTCTTCTTCTTTCTCCTCTTGTTTCTTCTTCATAAGCTTACCATTAACTCTTTCAAAGTAATTCCCGTATATGTATTCAGGTGAATACCCATTTTCTTCATCAAAAAGCATGATATGACCATGCCACTCCCACACCCGATAATCCGAACCCGTATCCTCATGAAACCCGATACATATATGGTGTTCACCAATAGCAACAGCTTGACCCGAATTTGGTTTTAGCGAATCAGTTTTTCCAGTTAAAATTGTCCGGATTATCTCTTTCTCAACCCTCGATTCTTCTTTCGCTAGCTGAGATTTGGAAGAAGAAGACTCCTTATCGTCGTCGTCTTCATCTTCGTCGGAGAAAGGGAGAGTGTTGAAGAGGAGATCTTCGAGGGATTGTGGGGAAAAGGAGGAAGTTGGGTTTGAAGGAGGACGAATTTGGAGACGGTTCATTAGGGACTGGAGGAGAAGGTTGTCGAAGTTTGGGGTGGTGGCGTTAAAGGAATTCATGGCGGTTGACGGTGGTTGGCGGTGGTTGGGGGATTCGAACTTCGAAGGGTTTAAGCAGAGGTTTTGGGGGTTTATTGGAACCAAAATATTAGGGAGGAAGCTGTGAAAACTGAAATATATCTTATTTTATATGAATTGTTTTTTGAAAAAGAAATGCTTTTAAAAATAATAGTATTAATTTAGTAAAGAATAGTTTTAATAGGGATAATCTTTTTTTTTTTCTTTTTTTTTGAGATTCTAGTTTTAAAAAATTTCAACTTCTGCTTGAAATATGAAAATTAGCTTATACTACTGTTTTACATTTTTTAAATGAAAATATGGACCTAACACCTTTATTCTTCAAAATAAATAATTTTTTAAGAAATGAATACTTTTGATCTTTCAAAAAACTGGCCAAACAAATCACAAAGGCTTAGGATATATAATATTAGGGGTATTAGTAACAGTTGATAGAAATTGATTTTCATTCTCACATTATCCCTAATTTAATCCGTTTAATTGTGAACCAGTAATCGAGTAAAGTATTACTCATGTAGCTGTTTGTTTTTTGAGTTCGATTATTATTAACAGTTTCTTTTACATTTTGATTATGATTTTATCTATAATGACTACTGTATATGATGATTTGTCAGGTTATCTATAATATTTGTCACGATCTTTTTCGTGTCAGTTACTATTTCTTAAGGGGATAATAACTCAGCCTGCAAACCACACATGAGGTGTAAATTGCACTAGGCAAACTCTATGCGATAGACTCAATTCAAAACGCATTGAGGGGATATCGAATGACCACCCTCCAAACCAACTAAGTTATCCCCTTCGATCAATTTTCAACACAGAACTTAATGATTTCCCTTGGACGATAAAAGCTGAGTTCTATTATTAAAAAAAAAAAGTGATTCTCGTGGATGATTAAAAGTAGAGCAACTTTCACATATAGCAAACATAAAATTCATATTTATATATTATAGCTATAGTTTGCATAATTGCGCTCTATATTTCATTAATAATACAAACCGAATAAACTTCACAACTAGTACCAAGTTTGGACAGATCCAATAGACGCCATTAAACTCAAGGAACAGAACAGAGTGCATACAAACTTAACTTCGTTTATAATCCATTTCATAAACCGGACAAATAAGAGATAGTTCAAATCATACAAAATTTGACCAGGGGAAACGTGAAGTTTCCTTTTCGTCATCATCACGTACTGTATGGAAGAGTAATTTCCCATACAGTAGATAATACAAGCATATTGTATATATATATATAGCATGTTATATGCTCATGCAACATGGTATATAACTGTGCTTAGCAGTACAAGTAGACGAAATATTAGAGAAGCACTACTATATGGTATATTAGTATGAGAAATGTAATGTTGACGGTCATTCACGACTTGAGGAAGATGAAGAGACTATCATCTCCTCAGGCTCTCCACAATGTAGTCTGCATACAGATCCCTGAGAAAAAAAATACATTATACGTAAGCAGCTGAACATAATATGAATTCTCGTTAACATAACATACTGCAGAAGGGAGAAAAATTGAACTTCTGGTCATGTTTGAAATGGTGGTAGGTGTTACTTACTGGGAATGCTGGACGGCTTCAAAGGCTTTGTCGGATGGAAGAAAGTCATTAACAGCAACTTCCTTGTTCTCATTTTTCTTGTCTGATACATTAGTCAAGGACCAAACCATATACTCAAGTTCTTATTCATGCTTGCACACACTAAACAGTAAATGAACGTAATAATGATAATTCATAAACATCTGAAATTAAAATACATGCTGCTCTTAAGATTTGTGATTTTGGAAAAGGATACAATCTTCAAAGAAACGACGGATCTCAGCCAAACGATGGGGTGGCAGCTCATTGATATCAGTGTAGTGCTTATATTCAGGATCATCAGCACAGACAGCAATTATCTTGTCGTCCTTTTCTCCCTGTGTTCTGACTAGAGTTAATACATGGAAGAGATTGGGGACACAAAATTTACTTTTAACCATAGATAAGTACCTGATCAATCATGGGCATAAGACCAATTGCTTTAGCCCTGAGAAAGCACCCCGGAAGAATAGGTTCCTGTAAATTAGCATGGTAAGAATCAAGAGAATAAATAACTGTTGATAGGCATCCCCTTATTTTTTTTTTTAAAAAAAGCACAGTTCATAGAGAAAATCGACAGTTTTATAGCATATAGATAAAAAGACATATAATACAGAAATCAATAGGTTATATATAGGGTAACAAAATGTCCACATAATTTAGAGCAATAACTGAGATCACAAATGCCTATAATAAGACCTAACACCAGGACCAGATCAACTTTTCTGTATCCAGCACCGTTTTTAAGTAGTAGTAGATATAGGTTTGGCACACAAACATGTAAGTTATAGGTAAGTCTTGGACCCTTAGCTGCAGTTCAACTATCAGCAAATATCCGCAAGTGTGTTGTTTATCAGGACAATGGGAAAGGATTATCAGCTCACCTGCATGATGACTAAGACATCCAGAGGGTCACTGTCTTCACAGAGTGTACGAGGGATGAACCCATAGTTATGGGGGTATACAACTGATGAATAAAGAACACGATCAACCTGGAATAATGAAACAGCGTTTCAGGTCACTCAGCTAAAATTTCACAATTTTACTCGTTTCAAGATATACCGCTTATACCTTGATCAGTCCAGTTTTTTTGTCAAGTTCATACTTCACCTTGCCCCCCTTACTGATCTCAATCACCTGCACCAACCAATTGGTAGGTTAACATACAAAAACATCTCAACCAAGTATGTGGTAACAAAAATAACTTCAACCATACATTAGCCTCTTGTAAGTCCCAAGGTACCTAGGTGAAAAATCAACTTTACACAGTGAAGAACTTACAGATTACTATCAAGAAGCAAAACACCTCTTAACTTAAAAAAGTTAGCATAAAGCCAGAGCCAAGACTCCAATTTTGGCAGCAGCTGATCTAAGCTATCTAACATGAGTCGGCCTAGAAAATCAATCATGCTTGCTCATTAAAATTTTGAAGATTTACAATATGTTTTGGACTTGATATCAATTATCACCTAAGCTAAATATTATTCAGCATATACATGAAGCATAAATTGCCTTATTCGTATAACCAATATGAAGGTTCAACCATATTAAATATCAGTTCGAAAGTTTTAAAGATTCCTTACCACATTAAAAATCTGTGGAGCATCAGGTCCTGCAGCAAAACACAAATTTTAGCTCATGAAGAATATTCCAGGAGCCATTTTTTTTTTTTGCACAACTGTGAGGAATGGTGTTTCCCTTTACAGAATTTATAAAATACCTATCTCGAGATCATGCCAAGGATGAGCTGCAACTGATCTCCGTGTCATAGAAGAGAGTATTCTTTCATTAAGAGGTGGAATGGAGAACTTCTGAGACACTGGAGACTTGACTTGAGTTTCGATAGGTGGAACCATAATTGCTAGCTGGACATCAAGGTATTAGTAGCAAGTAAGAATCTCCATAGGTATAGGAAAAGAAAATGTTAGCTTTCGGATAGAGGCATCAAATAAAGTTGTCCAACAAAACAACAGGTAAGAAATATCTGTATTTTTATAGACCAATGACCCAGACTCGGAATGGAACAAACAAAACTTAACCAGACAGGAAATATAAGTCATGATTTATATTTCTATAATATCAAAAATTATTATCTTCCTGTGAACAAATAAAAAGACCTTATTCTAACAGGTAATGTAAGCATACAATATACATTTGACATAGAGGTTATAATTTGCTATACTGTCTATATGTACAACCGGCAATGCCAGATCTATCTCGTTTTAGCTCTAGCTATACAACACTGATTGCTGGAATTACAAAATCAGAAACCTGCTAGGTAGATAGATGCCTATGTATAATTGAACAAAAGCTCTTCGTAAGGACTTTACAACTAGTAAGCTTCAGAAGAAACAAACAGAACAATTGCCAGTAACTCCAGTTAAGTAGAGTCAATAATAACCACGGAGTCCAAAAGATTGACTCCTCAGAAATCTATAAACATACCGAAGATCACTCCCTATATTTCCGTACATGAATTCATGAAATACGTGCAGAACGCAAAGCAGAACCAAACGGAAGCAGAAAACATGGAACACTATAGAATTCTTGTGCTTAAACGCATTTACTGCAGAGACATTCACGAAGAACAAAAAAAAACTGAGCGAAAACGAAACAAATACACTATATATCAGTTAGAAGTAGAGAAAAAAATGCCGTGAAGAAAGCGATCCTCACCTGAAGAAACAAAATCATTTTCAACCAAAAAACTTCAAAAAAAAAAACGGGCAATGAACAAGGAAATTAAGTCCTAACTACAAAAACATCACTCCATCCAAACAAAAACCAATCATATCAGCAAAAACTGCAGAAAATGTAACCGATCCCTAAAAACATTACTACAAAACAAAAAAACAACAGAAATGAATGCTGAAACGAGTAAAATGAAGATCATCAACCACATTTTCCGAAGAATCACTAGCACATTGAACAGAAAACGCATTAAAGCAAACAATCGATACCTGAAGCAAATGAAGGAGGAAACTAAGACCGTCGGTGGAAGCACACAGCTCAGATCTACAAAACAAAGCGTATGAACAACGGCAAACCGAGAAAGAGTATTTATAGAAGAAAAAAAAAAGAGAAAGAGAATAAACCCTAGAAAGTTGAGTAATGAAGGTGTAAAACGCGTTCTTCTCCTTCTTCCCGCTCTTAAAACTCTACCATTTTAAAGCTTTATTAAACAGCTCAAAGCTTTAAAAAAATAAATTGCATAATTCTTACGTTTCATCTTTTATTTTTTTTAACTTTTTTTTTCTGAAGAGGGAAGATTCTAAATTAGAAGCGAATATTATAAATACTTGGACACGTGGAGGATTTTTATTGAGTGTTGTGGGACTTAAAACGGTGATAGTGACGGAGTTCCTAACGGTGGAGGTTGGGGATTTGACGGGAAATGTAGGGTGGGAAGATGCCGTTAAAAGGGATTAAGTTTGAGAGGTGGAGGGAATATTCGTGTCATTTATTTCATTTAATTTTTGATAATATAATAAACTTGATAAAAATTATATCAACGTAAAAAAACGGTTTAGGTAATTTGATATTATAAATTTAGAAATGAAAAACTCATGAAAGATATTATTACAAAGTGAAATGGTGTTAAATTGTGAATTTAGAAGTGATATTTAGTAGAACAACTTTCACATATAGCAAATATAAAAATTATATTTGTATGTTATAGGCTTATAGCTATAGTTTGCATAATTGCGCTCCATAACAAACTTTATGTTTGCTATGACTATTAATATGTATATTTCGTTATACATATATAAAAGAAGCAATTGTATAATCTGTTTCGGCAGAGGCGTATCTAAGGGGGGTCACCGGGTTCACGTGAACCCATGGCCCCCTCCCGAGATCATATATAGTAGTGTTATATTTAAAAAAATATACTGAATTATAGATTTGTGAACCCACACTTGAAGTATCACATAATGTGATTATGACTGGGTGCAATTCGTTCCGCAAGGCTAGAAATTTGAATTTTATATTTATCTTATTTTATTTTTCTTTCTAAAATTAAATAACACTTCTCTAAAGTGGTAATTGGTATATATATATATATATAAGAATTAAGTTTAGACCTATAATTTTAAAATTTTAACGGTTTTCAGTAGTAAAAACCTAAATGTCGAACTGATCAAATTTATATCATAGATCTAACCTTTTTATAACAGTGCACCCATCATCTCAAAATCTTGGATACGCCTCTGTGTTTCGGTATACACATACAAAAGAATCAATTGTATAATATGTGTTTGTATAAAGCAAGAAAGAGAGAAAGACAAAAGAAAAATGGGCATGGGAAGATTTGTATTTATATAATCATAAGTGTATAGGACGAAATATATGTATTCGTATTTATATATACAATTTTCTCTCGCTTTATACAAACACAAACGCAATTTATACACTTGTGTTTGTATAAAGTGAGAGAGGCGAGTGAGAGTGGCGAGCGAGATCTGGGAGAGGGGAGAGAGGGGAACGAAAAGATACGTATATATACAATTTTCTCTCACTTTATACACACACAAACGCATTTTATATATTTGTGTGTTGTATAAAGTGAGAGAGATGAGGAGAGATTGCCTAGCGAGAAACGAGAGTGGCGAGCAAGAAATTAAGGGAGAGAGGCGAAATGACAACAGTTTGTTACGGATTACAATTAAATCAAACTGTGATTATAGCATTTAATTTGAATTAATAGTTTGCTATTTTATACAAATTTCCCTATTTAATATTAGGAGGAAAGAAGTATATCTTTGAATATCGATTTCAAAAATTGTGGGATTTTTTCACCATTAGTAGAATTTTGATTTCGAGCAATCATACAAATTGTCTTGATATATTGGTTTTATGTGATTAGACGAAAGAAAATTAGTCTGAACCAAAAATATTCCGACATTAAATGAAAAAATTAAATGGTATTTTCCTTGTTCCTTTTAGTTGTTACAATTTATTTATTTATTTTTGGGTCAAACGATAAGAATTTTGACTGACATTTTGCTATGTTTTTTAATTATATTGATATGTAAAAATTTGCAATGTAGTGGATTATCTAAATTTTTAATCTGAAATATCAAATTAATGTAATCTAATTTAACTTTAAAAATTAATTAAATTGACTTTACATCTGAAAGTAAGTAATTAAAGGTCTGGGCATTTAGTCCAAATTTAGACGTGGAAACAACTTATTATTTTTCTTTAACAAAAATATATCTTGTGTTTGGCATGTTGTTCAATTTTAATATCCCATGTTTGGTACTATAATAGGGATTATTTAAAAAATTAGTAGATGACACTTATTTTTCTTTAACCAAAAAATATCTTTAGTTTGGCGAAATGTTCAAATATTTCTTTGCTTGCAAACATGAAACATAGGACATTATTTTCAAATATCTACTTTATATTTATTTATTTTTTTTTATTTTTTTTTGCATATAGTTATTATGGGAGGATAAGATAGATCGAGTCAGCATTGACTAGGAGATTACTAAGATTTAAAAAAATTGGCAAAAAACATTTTTCATTGAGTTTTTAAAAGGTAGTAATTACATATGAATTTCAATTATCTTAATAATATTGAATTCACCCGCAACTAGCGCACAATGAAAGCATTTGTCACTATTGCAAATGTATATTTCATGATGACATAAAATGTTTCTGGTAGAGTTGAATTTTCTCATGTTTTGATAGTTATATATTTTGAAAAGAAAAAACATTCTCTATAAAAATAATTAAGTTTCTTAAAAATTAAGAAAATAATTTACGAGTAAGAAAAATAAGTTTCACAACACCCTGCTCTCTCCACCCTATCTCCGACATCCATCTCCACGCTTGTAGACTACTGTGTCGCCTAAATTATGTATATAAATGTTTCTGAAATTATATTTTTTGTTTATTGTTATTATTGTTCTTTTCTCCGTTATTTTCCTTATACTGTATTCTCCCTTCATATGTATCGTGATATATTTTACTTGAATTGAGATGTTTTATTCTCGTACCAAACATACCAATAATTTATTAATATTCGCAAATAAAGGAGGAGATGGAATATATGAGTGGGAATGGGAATAAGTAGCGTTGAAGTAATTTCTTATTCAAGATATATATTGTCCCACTTTAATTTCTCTTTTTTTCTTTTTTATTTTCTGCATGCATGTGACTTTTTCTTTATAACGACTCCACCCACCTTTCCTTATTGTTGACACATCTATTCTTCTCAACTTTTCTTATTAATTAAATAAATACAAGAACAAAATTAAAGAATGTTCCAAATTAATTTGATGAAATCCAAGGTCTAAGTTGATACATCATAGTCTATCTTCCACTAGGAATATTATAAAAATTTTAGTAATTAATAAAGTAGATTCTGAATTTAAAGTTTATAGGTAATATTTCAAGTTAATATATATAGTAATAATTAAGTTTACACTCAATATATATTTTGATATATATACGCAAAGTTAGATAGAAGAAAACTACTAGATTTTCTTAAACTTATATATTAAAAGATTCATCAAAATACAGTAAAACCCACTAAATTAATATATGTGGACCATGAAATATTATTATAGGTATTATTTAATCGATATATTAATATTTATTAATTAATTAAAAGAGTGTTTTGAGATTCATATTCCGAATTCCAGAGTTTAGAAGAAATTGTAGATATCATCGAAAAAAAACATTGTTGATGATGAAATTGAAGATAATACAATACATTTGAAACCAATTACGCATAAGAAAACACTTATCACATGTCGACTTTTCACGATTTTATGATACAGCTCGAAAAGACAACATCGAAACTTTAGTATGCAATAGGAAAAATTAGAGATGAGTTTTAACTAGATTTAAATTTTAACAAAAAATAAAAACAATAGATTTTTTCCATTGGCCTAAGTCGGGATCGGAGGAAATATTATCTTAGAGAGGTTACTAATTTACCGAGTATTAATTTAGTGTGGTTTTACGATATATATATATATGAAACTTAAGTTTGAACCCCAATCGCAAACACGTATCACTCAAAAGCGCCGTCCAAAAATTCATAACCTGAAGTTCAATCCTAAATTTGACTTAATTAAATTAATTAACGTGACGGTACAAAAAGTTACACACTATAAGACAAATAACTTAATTAAGACCTTATTTTTTTAATAATATATACTATTAAAATGTTTGACAGTTGCACCACACGCCTTTGCTTGCTTGATTAAGGGGACCTAATCTTTATACGTACTTTTTTGGTCTTTAATTTATATTATTTGTGATGTGAATGTGAATGGGTCAATGTTATAATCACCACGTCAAACATTAATTGAAGACTTGTCAATGTTAAACATAATTTGTGTGGATCTTTGATTTTGTAAATTAAAAAAATAGATTAATCTTTGGTCAATTTATGCTTCTTCTCGGTGTTATTACAACAAACGAGATATTTAGTGATAATAATTTTTTCTTGTGATAATATTTATTGTAGCAACAACAATTAAATTAATACCATTGCATTTTGAGTCACTAAAATCTTTAACAACATTTATACAAAATGTTGGTTATAGATATTCATATGATACTATTATATAATTATAGCGACAATTTTATTATCACTGCTAAATAATTACCGCAAAATGCTTTTTTTGTTGTAGTGTGTGTTTGGTGGGTAGATAATATTTTAATGAAAAATAAATGAGTTTTTTTATTTATTTTCTAGTATATGGAAACTAAACAAAATAATATTATACCAAAAGCACTTATATGTAAACAATATGAAGATGGAATAGGATGGGAAGTGTGGTTAGGGATGGAATGGTCAAATGGGTGGAGGTGATAGTCGAATGAATGCGAGGAAACGATGAACTTGAAATGTCACTAATAATACTTGTTAGACTACATAATTAGACATATTTTACTACCATATATACTACTATTATTTATACTTTCTGAATATTACGTATGTTACCATCAACAAGAGCTTCGTATCATATAATAAGGAAGATACATTTAGATGCATGTATTTTTGCTACTAGATAACCTAAAATAGGGAGAAAGGTGAGCGAGATGGAGAGGGAGACGAACAAGATTTGTTATGTATCCCAGATACACATGAATGACACTAAATATACACTTGTATGTATCTGATGTGATTCACATGCATCTGGATACTAGATGCATAGGAAAGTGGCGAGCGAGATGAGAAATAGGCGAGGGAGGCGGGTGAAATTTGTTATGTATCCAGATACATGCGAGTCCACTTGGATACGATATGTCTAAAATAAGTTACACCTAATTTTAACTATATATATCTTGATATACATCTATCTGGACGTATTTGAATGTATTTAGACACACTAAAGTCTAATAAGATACGTAATATTGATACATTAAGTTTGATGCGTAAGTTTTCCTAGTACTTGTTTTCCATGTTTCGCTAGGGCGACTATTTTTCTCATTTTTATCCAACTTATTTTCTTTGATTTAAGACTAACCAAAATTTCTTTGTACCAAATACACTAATTCTTTTTAAAGCTTTTCTTTCATTCTCTAATGTAATGTAATTATTAGAGTATTAACAAGTTTGGTCCCATTTGAAGTTTTGACAGCTTATAGACATGTTTTTATTTGTGGCACTATAAAATAATGAATTTGAAATCTATGCATCGATAATTAAAAAAATATGTATACATTAACATCATTGTAATATTTTACATATGTTGAAGCTCTTTCGTGTTTTAGTTAGAAGTACTTTCATTAAAAAAATTATTTTCACTTTTAAGAAATAGCCATTTCTAGTTTATAGTTCAAACATTGACAAAATATTACTCCCTCCGTCTCATTTTATATGTCATCGCTTTCTATAAATAGCTGGACCACAATACTTGTAATTTTATAAAATTTATGCATAAATTACCAAATTTTGCCTATTATACCCTTGATAGAATAGTTAATTAATCTTGTCATTTATTAATAAAGTTGACTTAAGAAAACATTAATTAAGGGCAGAAGGGTAAAATTACATCATTTCTTAATGCAAGTGCAAAGTAAAAAGGTGACATATAAAATGGGACGGAGGGAGTAATAAGCAATCTAAAGCTGGTCATCTAAGTTAATTTTTAGTGTAAAGTACAAAAATTTCAAAATTTTTGGATGCTAATTACATCCTATCTCAAAAGTTTTATAGATTACAATAATTTCGGATTTTTCAATCGTGAATACATTGTTGCTTCGCCCGATACATAACAAACAATACATTAGTTATCTACCAGATACATAGCTTAAACCAGATTCATACTGATTTAGTTTTGAAATAATTGAGGTTATGTATCAACAATAACATTGTACTAGATACATTATACACAAAAAGTTATAATGTATCTAAAAGAGGTGGAGTGATGTATCCGGATGTTAAGAGAGAAGGAAAAAATGGAATTTTTATAATTAATTCAGATGATATTAATTTTTAGAGATTATGTTATCTTAAATCGCGTAATTACGTAATTTTCCATGTCCCTAGGCTAAGATAAGATGAGCTTTCCTGGCCCAAGCTCCGCTTACTGTGGGCCTTGGCCCATGATTTTATTAGATATGTAATGTCTATAGAAGGGTGATTTGGGCCTTATGGATTTGTCTGCTTTGAACAATCATATCGCTGCAATTTTACAAGTGATGTCTAAAAAATATGATATTGGGATAGAAAAAAATCTTTTTAATAAATTTTCGACTCAGAATAATTTGTTTTAGCAAAGTAACAGGAATAATTAGTTTGATAAGGAAGTGGAAAAAAAACATGATTATGCTAACAAAATAGATACATGTTGTTCTATGATTGTCATGGTTTTCTTATAGCAATTTCAATAAATGTCCATATGATGAAAACAATTAGACATAAGAGGGATTTCAATCAAAACATTTTAAAATTTTCGGATGAAGTATGTTTTTTTTTTCAACTTCAACTAATATATTTTTTTAGTTCCATTTTATGTAATTGAAATACTTTTACACGATAATATATTTTTTTAACGCAGGATAACCCCGTAGTTGCTACAATTTTTGCCCTCTGCGATGAGCATTTTCTACACACTGGGTAAACCATCCATTATGTAATAGCCTGCAAAACCACATACAAGATATAAACCACACTAGACAAGTCTTATGCGATAAGCTCGACTCAGAAGACATTGAGGAGGATCAATCCCGAATCGTCCATATAGATACCGTCCAAATTAATTGAGTCAACCCAAACGACCGTGATACCATTTTTATACAACCAAATTATTGAGAGGTGATGAAGAGTCAACATTTGAATTGGAAAACAAAGAAGGTGACTTTAACCACCTAATAAAATAAGTAATTTTGTTATTAATTTATGCTTCTTCTAACTTATTTAAATATTTTTTTTTTAGTCACACCCATTAGAGAAGTTCAATATTTGAATAATAGCTCAACTTATAGCAACAAACATTAAAGTTATTCAATATTCATCTAGTTAGTTTTCTTTTTTGGTTTCTTTCTTTTTTTGATTTCCCACCCGGTGTCTGGAGTTCACATTGGAGCTCCGATTAAAATCGGACCGCACATTGAGGGCTTGAACCCAAGACCTTTTTTTTAGTCACACCCATTAGAGAAGTTCAATATTTGAATAATCGCTCAACTTATAGCAACAAACATCAAAGTTATTCAATATTCATCTAGTTAGTTTTCTTTTTTGGTTTCCCACCTGGTGTTTGGAGTCCACATTGGAGCTCTGACTAAAATCGGACCGTGCATTGAGGGCTTGAACCCAAAACCTCTAGTTAAGGTTGAAACACTCCCACCAGTGCACTACAACCCATGTCGGTCATCTAGTTAGCTTTCACGATCATTAAACTCATTATCTATTTTAAGACGCAATGATTGTTTTCAAATAATTAATATTTAAATTTATTTAGGACTCGATCCATCCGACCCATTTAAAATGAGTCGACTGTACAAAAGAGAAGTAAATAAATAAAAATCTACGGCCGACCGGTGCCGACGTGACTGACGTTGCAAAGACGCTTTCCCTCCTATAATATTTATTCATTTTTTTACAGCCTCTCTATTTATTAGATCTCAAACATATTTTCATATCTTTCTCTTCCATTTTCAGTTTCTCCGATCCCGGTATGTAATTGTATGTTTATATGAATATAATTATGTATAAATCTTCGTATATATGTACGAGTTAATTTTTTATTCAAATTTGATTTGATTTGATTTTCAGGTTTTAAGGTGATTTTTGTTTTGTTTGTATATCTAGGGTTGGAGTTTCCCTTCATCATTTTCTGAGAAATAATTTCTAATGGCCGCTCCACCCGCTAGAGCTCGAGCTGATTACGATTACCTCATCAAACTCCTTTTGATCGGCGACAGCGGTAAGTTTTTTTTTTTTTTTAATTTTTTTTTAGGTATATTGAGCTTGAGGTTATGTGTTCGAGCTATGGAAACTAGATTTTTGTAGAAATGTAGTTGATTGATTAAAACTTGTCCTGCACATAGCGTTTAGTGCATGAAACAGCCTTTTTATAGTTTTTCTATGTATAATTATATTTTATATTTACGTTGATTGATCAAATTTTGTAGAGTTATAGTATATGAGATGTTTGGGATAAGGTTAATGGTGTGTAGCGCTGCGATCTAGGTGTAGAACTGTGATGTTAAGCTTATTTTTGTTTAGTTTTCTTTAATGGCTTATACGTCAGTTCTAAGTCGCGGTTTTTGTATATGTGTAATAACAAAAATGTGTGCAGTGATGCTAGAGAACATCTGTCGATCGAAGAGTGTTAGGATTTTTGATTGCTTCTTTGGGACATGAAGTGCAACTAGAGCTTGAAGAACTTATTGTTAGCTTTGTTAGTATTGTTCTTTCGGTTGACACTATGCTTCATTTGCTGGTAATTTTATGTAACTAGGAAGGAAAATATTAATGGATGCTTATTAAGTTTGGTTGGAGAATGAATTGGTGGTTTGCTTATATGGACTTGCGCAATCCTCTCATCATGAGATAACTTTTGGGGCCATATCTTTACGTGGAGGCAGAGCCATGTCCATCCTTGTTGGGGCTGTCGGTCCATGTCCAGTTGGAACTGAACGTGAACTGTCAAGGGGGTGTTAGAATAGGTTAGAGTCCCACATTAGTTGGAGAATGGATTGATGGTTTTCTTAAATGTACTTGGGCAATTTTTAGAGCTAGCTTTTCGGGTTGAGTCAGGTCGTGGACCATCTCTTTACATAAAAATTGACTTGATGCTGATTAGGTCAGTTTTCTGGTTGTTTAAGTCATTTTCGACTTTCTTATCTTTTTATTTTTCTTATTAAGTTCTATTCATTTTCTTGTCTGATCTTTTTTTTCTTAACAATTTTATACATTTCTTGTTATGCTTCTGTTTCATTTATGTTTTGTTAAATGATAGAGAGAAAAATTGGTAAAAGAAATACTACATTAACCAAATTAATTATCTATTGGAATTTTATTTGATGCATGTATAAACATGTCTGTGAACTGGTTATATTGGGTTCAAAATCTGGTAGATATAAGTTTCAGACTATATTCTTGCACCAACAGTAGATGCCTCCCATTCCTCTTGTTGTGCATAGTGTAGATACAATATTAGACATGATCGAGGATTTGTAAAACATGACACCCAAGGGTGTGATCTAGTGGTCAATGAAGTGAGATGAAAATATAAAAGTTCTAGACTCTAGAGTAAAAGTTTACTCTTAAAATGGCCCTGGAGATTGACAATAAAAATGATCTGGAAAGTTGTTGTTCTCATGAAATATGGGAATGAAGGTTCACTGGATTCCAAGGTGTTCACATATGTCCAACAGAAATACTATTTGGAAGCAACATTTATAGATAGTGGGAAGAATTCCAGTCATTTCCCAAACTAAAGGTGGGTGATAGAAATTACACAACATTTTGGCTAGATCAGTGGATAAGTAGCTTTTGTATTTTGTAGCCTCAACTCGGTTTCTGTTTTTTTAGTGCTTGTAAGTTGTAACATTTACTTTGATAATAAGATAAGTCAGTTAAAAAGGATTTATAAATAAGTCAGTGCCTGCAAAATTTAATTACATGTTGTATAAGAATCTGCGAGATTTTGCACTAGTAGTTAGAATCTAGGAATACGTTTTAGGTAGGCTGTAGCCGAATTGTTGAAAACAGATGGTGTCAATCATTGTGCCAGCATGCTCAGAAGTTTGAAGATGGACATATAGACAAAATTGGCTAGATTTTCAGCACTATTCATTTGCTTTCACTTTCAAATATTCTCGCAGCACTATATCAAGAACATTGCCATCATTATGCATATCAGTTACCTTCCAAATTATGCTGAAGATCAATAGCTGTTTAGTGTTTTTTGTTTCAACAGCTTGTTCATTTTTTGTGCTAATATGTTGAAATTTCCTATTAATAGTTTAGTCCTTCTGAAAGATGACATAATAGATTCTTTTTGAATTTTCAGGTGTGGGTAAGAGTTGCCTTCTTTTACGTTTCTCAGATGGCTCCTTTACGACCAGTTTTATCACAACTATTGGGTAATCATCTTCTACATTTTAAGGAACACATTGTCGTTATCTCATCATCTTCTTCTTCTTTGGTGTTTTTCTTAAAGCACTTGTAACTCAAATGTAATAAAAGGATAGATGAACTAGGAATTTGATAAGATAATAAATTCTCATGGAAAAGTAGCACAAACCTCTTAACTTAAGTTTACATAATGAAAATGTGAACAACATGCTGCTACTACCACTACCACCACATGCTCTTGTATTGCTCTTTTGTTTTTTCTCTTAGCACTTGTACCTCAAAGGTGATCAAGAAATACAAACCTTTTTTTTTATGACAAAGGTAACATAAGATATACAAACATAAATTGATCTAAATAAAGAAAATGTGTTGAGCAGTTGATAAGAAAGGTATCTTGTTTTACCACGTTTTATCAAATAAGAAGGCAAGATTTCCATAAGGTGAAGTTTCTTAAGTAAAGTACATAACCTCTTGACTAGGAATGTAGATTATGTAAGTTGACTACAGTGGTTTCAAGAGATAGTAAAAACGTGGATGGATTGTTACACAAACAAATTATTATTTGCCTATGTATTTATTTTTCGGGAGACCTATTCTGATTGAAACTTTTCTTTCACAGTATTGACTTCAAGATAAGGACCATAGAGCTTGACAGTAAACGAATCAAACTGCAAATCTGGGATACCGCCGGTCAGGAGCGGTTCCGAACAATTACAACTGGTAAGCTTGTGGGTGAAACATGCCGTTCTTCATTTCTTCTTGCTATTTTGTCATTTGATATTTCTTTTGGGCGAACATAGACCAAGTCAGTACTCTGTTCTGCTGCATTAATATGTCAACTTCACATTTTTCGTAATTTTACTGCCTTTGCAGCTTACTACCGTGGAGCCATGGGTATATTGCTGGTGTACGATGTAACTGATGAGTCATCTTTTAACAGTAAGTTCCCTTGTTACACTGGGGGAGAGGAATTTTAACTTTTTGTTATGTCAATTCATGAGTGGTTCCTTTTACGTTGTGGATGATTTTATAAGCTCTGAGGGGTTGATTTCTAGGAGTATTACCACATGTTTGAGGTCTTGACAAGAGAATCTCCGTCTTCCAATCCCTTCTAATCAGGCATCTGCCAACGAAACTATATGTTCTACTTTTATGACTTCTGCCCCTCCTCTTTATAACGAAGCAGTTTAATGAAGCATGGCCTTTAAGATTATGGAGAAGCTATTCATTTTTATCATGCACTAAAATAGTGTACACTTCTGTTGGTCAGGTCAAAACTAACTTTGTGCACATGTTTAGACATCAGGAACTGGATAAGAAACATTGAACAGCATGCTTCCGACAATGTCAACAAAATTCTGGTCGGCAACAAGGCTGACATGGATGAAAGCAAAAGGGTTCTCTCTCCTCTCTAGCTCCTTTTATCTGCTGATCTTTGTATGTTGTTGTATACGTGCTATTGAGCAACTGAGTTGTGATACACCTTTTCTCTAGGCTGTTCCTACATCCAAGGGTCAAGCACTTGCTGATGAATATGGCATTAAATTCTTTGAAACTGTAAGTAGAACTGTTAGCCAGCATTGTAATTATTTGCAATTGCAATTCTCTTAAATCCTAGTAATATTTAATGCAGAGTGCCAAGACAAATATGAATGTTGAGGAGGTTTTCTTTTCCATAGCTCGGGATATAAAACAAAGGCTTGCCGAATCTGACTCAAAGGCTGAGGTATTATTTTCCAAACCAAGTTCATTTAAAGTGTGCATACTTTATGCTGGCTGACAAGTTTGAATGCTGAAATTAAATAGAAACGAGAGACGATTGATATTTCTATTGATTTGACTTTTGACAAGACAGAGTTTGAGGGTGAAATGTTGGTGTATGAAAACGTTGGACAAAGATCCTTCCGTTCTAAAAAACTAAACGGAAGGTGGAAGTGCACACTAATTTGTTAAATTTCTATTTGTCCTGTTTCCCTAATACAGAATAACTTCCTTCCAGGTTCCTATAAGTGCGAAAAATTCAGTCTTTATTGCATCCCATCACTTTGAATCTTTCATTTCTCCAAATACTCTACATCAGCACGATGTTATCTTGTTCCATTTCCTAGACATGGAATATTTCGCAGACTGACTCGTGCATTCATGAATTTTGCAGCCTCAGACCATCAGGATAAATCAACCGGACCAGGGAGCAGGATCTTCACAAGGCGCCCAAAAATCAGCTTGCTGTGGTTCTTAAAATATCGATAACAGCAAATGAAGCCAGGATGATGGGAAATACATCCTTAAAATGACCATTTTAGTGGGAGGGCTGAAACTAATCTTTTTTTTATATAACATTCTCATTGTATTTCTCTCTTTACAGCACTTTTCTTCCAATATCTATTTGTATTTGGTGGCAGCTCTTAGTATTTGCAAATTTTTTTATCAGTATATTGCTCACCACTTTTTTGACTAATATAAATGAAGGGACAAACTGCCTTCTAATGTTTTTGTACAAACTTTTGGAGGGGTTTTTGTGTGGGTATTTGCATTTTAAGATTGTTCTTAGGGGTTGCCATTTTATCAATCAAATATTGTTCAACTAAATTCAAGTCTATGAAATTGAGCACAATTTTACAAAGAATTGTTTTCTGATCATTTTTTGGAGAACTCTTTAACTCTTACTTTTCACATGACATATTTAAGATCGTAATATTTAAGAGTACTTTAGTATATTTCTATGTATCTTTAGTTTAAGAATATGAGATTCAAAAGTTTCTTTACATTACCTTTGTCTAAAGTCAAAATCAAGTTAACAAAATGGTTTGAATTGTTGAACAAAAATACGCATAACTTAAAGCAGTGCACTTCTTCATTTTTAGCGTTTTTTTCTTCAAGTTTTAGGGTACTGTTTTGAAATTTTATTCAGGCCTTATCGAACTTGCAAAAATTAGTTTCTCAACAATCAATATTCTTTATGAATGATAGGGCATTGGGGAGAATTTATTGATAACAAAAAAGATGAGGTTTCTGTTGGAGGGTCCCCAATCAAATAGAATTGAAAAAAACATTTTTGATATTTCAAGATGACATTTAGTTGGTTTAATCATGAAACGTTGAAAAACTTAACCAACTACGAACATATTAAGAAAAAATGTCCTAGAACATGATATTGAATTGAGTGAGAAATCCCCCCCCCCCCCCCCCCCCCCCCTTTCTTTTATTTTT